GGAAGAAGTGGAAGTAATCCTCCTGTTTGGAAATTTGGTAAGAAAACATGAAATTTCAGAATATGGTACACCGTAGCTGTGAAACCTGGATGCAGTACAATATTTATCTGCTAATAGAGGATATAGAATAAAGCCAGCCTAGGGCATGGGGCGAAGACAAAAACAGGACAATAGAATACCTCAGAGACAAATCTAGGTCATAGTGACTCAAACGTGTGACGGACCGGAGTCTTGTTTCCATGACTATTAAGAAAAAAAGTGACATTTAGTGGTGACATCCAAACTACCAGCACCAATGTTAGTTACAGAGGTCCATTGTATAAAGTTCTTCCACTCAACCTTATGTTGTACAGTGCACCGAGGTCTACAGGTGATGAGAGTGCGGATCCCTCCATTTTTTTTAATATGAGAGGAAGGTAGCTAGAGAGTGAGTGAGGGAGGAAAGAAATAATAATACATGAAAAAAATAAATATATAAGCACACAAACAGAATTAAACATGTCAATTTGTTAGATTGTAGCACTAGAATATATATTACAAATCCATGGCATAATAAGGAACTATATTGTAAATAGGTTTAAAAAAAAAAAAAGATAAGAGGAATGACAGACAGACGGGTGAATTGACAGATAGACGTACAGACGGGAAGAGAGATCAGTATACGTTCAAGAAGTCCATCAGGATTGACTTTCGGTCATGCTATCTGTTTCTGTCTAAGAAGTTACACCTAACAGTCATCTTATAATACAGACAATTACAATCCCAAGCCTTTCAAGTAAACGATTATAGGGTATTTATTATAGGACACGTATCATCTTTAAGCTTAATCCACAATCAAAGCTCCTTTTCAGGTTCCTCTCTTAAGAGCACACTTTTTCCCTACTGTTAGTCACTGTATTTTATTCTATTCTTCGGTTCGCATCACAACAGATAGTTTCGTCAGATGCCTTTTACAGTCCTTTTTCACTGTGATTCTATCCAGTTACTCACACATGTAAGGTTATGTTAACGCTCATCCACAAGAAACAAGCCTGCCAAGGGTAAGAAGTTCTGAACTTAGTCAAATAAATTTTGCACAAGGCCAACTACTCACTTCAACATGGAGGTTCCACCCAGTGGCACAACTCTGAGTTAGTACCTCGCATATTCTTCTGCAAAGTCTTGGGTAGGGCCTCACATGTCACGGCCACAAGTATTGTCTCTTTACTGCCACCAACAGGTTAACACCCCGTTGCGCGTAATAGGTACAAGTCCACATGGCCCAAATCAACGGTAGGGCCTTTCTCAGCCATCTTGTCGTCCTCATTCTCATTCTTCTTTACCTAATTATCATCCTTCTTCTAAGCATTCATCTCCTCCTCTTTCTTCTTTTTTGCCTCTTTTTCTTCTTTGCCTCTTCGCCCTCATTTTTCTAATCTTACTTCTTCATCTCCTCCTTCTTCATTGCTTTTACTCCTCCTTCTTTACCTCCTCATCCTCCTCAGTTTTTACTTCATTGTTCTCATTTTTCTTCACCTCTTTCTCTACCTTTGTATTTTCCTTATTCTACACTACCTCCTTCTTCTTCAACTCTTTCGCATTCTTTTAAACTCTTAATGCTCCTTTTCACCCTAACCCTCCTTCTTCTTTGCCTCCTTTTCCTCTTTTTTAATCTGTGTTTTTCAGATCCTTTTCCTCCTTCTTTGCATTTCTTATCCTCTTCCTTCTTCTTTATATCAAACATTTTCTTCATTGTCTTCTCCTCCTTCTACTTGTTTGCTTCCCCTCTTCATTCTTTTTCCTCACCTCCACCTCCTCCTCCTTTTTCTTCATCTCCTTATTCTTCTTCGTCACTTTCTCTAATCTTTCATCTTCTCCTCTTCCTTCATCTTAGCCCCCCTTGCTTAGTCTTCTTTTTCTAATCCTTCTTTGCCTTCTGCTCCTTTTTCTTCACTTCCTCTTCTGCCTTCTTTACTTCCTCCTTCTACTTTGCTTCTTCTTTCTTCTCCTATACCTCCTCCTCATTCTTTGTCCCCCTTCTTCTACTTCACCACCTTTGTTTTCATTTTACCCTCTTCTTTCTCCATCTCTTACTTCTTTGCTGAATTCTCCCTCACCTTCTTTTTTTTTCTTTCCCTCCTTCTCTGTCATCTTCATCTACTTCTCATTCACATCATTCTCCTTCTCTTTTTTCAACTCCTTCTTTACCTCCTAGTCGGTTTTCATCTTAGCCCCTTCATTCTCCTCCTCCTACTTCTTCTTCTTCACATTCTTTTTCTTCACCTTCTCCCTCTACATCTACTCTTTGTCTTGGCCTCCTCTTCATTCTTCTTCACATTATTCTTCTTCTTTGCTTACTCCTCCTCATCATCTTCTTTTTTCATCTGTTTCTCCTCTTCCTATGTAATGAATTAAAGTTAAAATGTGACATGTCAGTTTAAGTGACTTATTTTGTGTTTATTACTGTGTCTTTATAGAAACTGACAAATGACATGCACTATAATATAAGCGCATGCCAACAGTGCCTCTGCACACTGTAAATGAATCTAACATTGTGATAGTTTGTATGCCTCTCTAAAGGTCCCACATCATCAGGCTCCACTGATTTTCCCTCAGATCACCAACCCTAACCTGATCGCTCTTTTGTGGGACTGAGTCACAGGAAAAGACCTCGGCTTACCACTCACAATTCTTTTCCAGATTATACCATAATGACACTACTTGATTTCATGATACTGACCTTGGCTTACCCCTACAGATTGTCTTTTTTCTCAAACTCTATATGCTCAGAATGATTTTCATGTTAAAGGACCACTCTAGGCACCCAGACCACTTCAGCTTAATGAAGTGGTCTGGGTGCCAGGTCCCTCTAGGATTAACCCTTTTTTTAATAAACATAGCAGTTTCAGAGAAACTGCTATGTTTGTAAATGGGTTAATCCAGCCTCTAAAGCCTCTAGTGGCTGTCTCATTGACAGCCGCTAGAGGCGCTTGCGTGATTCTCACTGTGAAAATCACAGTGAGAACACGCAAGCATCCATAGGAAAGCATTGTAAATGCTTTCCTATGAGACCGGCTGAATGCGCGCGCAGCTCTTGCCGCACGTGCGCATTCAGCCAAAAGGGAGGAGAGGAGGAGGAGAGCTCCCCGTCCGGTGCTGGAAAAAAGGTAAGAGTAACCCCTTTCCTCTCCCCAGAGCCGGGCGGGAAGGGGACCCTGATGGTGGGGGCACCCTCAGGGCTCTATAGTGCCAGGAAAACGAGTATGTTTTCCTGGCACTATAGTGGTCCTTTAAGGGTCTGGCTTAAATCCACCAATTTCCCTTTCTGCTCAATCCTCTAATCGGATTGCTTTAATGGTTAACTCCATGGCTCATTTCGCTGGATTCTTCATATTGATTATCCCCATCAACTGGACTGACTTAAGGTGAAAAACTTGGCTTATATCACTAGATTGCTTTATTGGATAACCATTCTATATTTGGACAGATCCTATAACTGGATTGGACTAATTATCTCCCTTAAAGGAACATAGAAAAATACTTGACTTAATGGAACACTATAGGATGAGTGTCACGGTGCCTGATCGGCAGCTCAGTGTGACCGCACCAGATTGGAACGGTCACACTATCACAGTGACAATGTGACCGCATCTGATCTGTGCGGTTACACTAAAGGAGGGAGAGCTTACTCATCTCCATGCAGTCCTTAATACAGCGGCCGGGTCCAGCGTTAGGAAGGACACCTGCCACTGCAAGGCGGCGCTATATAGTAACGCCGCCTACAATGATGTCACTAGTGAACGTGCGTGCAGCGTCACGTTTTCGCAGTGCATGCACGTTCTGGGGTCATGGGACCCAAATCAGCCAATAGCAGGGTTTACTGGGTTATTTAATCCCAAACCTACACTTGTTCAGTGCCCTGTCATGGTTTCCATCCTGTTGGTTATATGAGAGCACGTTCCTGATTCTGTTTATAGGTTTTTCATCTTGGCTTGGCTTGACTTCCCGTGTATCTGGTATCCCTGACCCTTCAGCTTTGTTCTTAACGTATTTGTTCCTTCTGTATTCCTGACCTCAGCTCGTGACTGTTTATTCTATTATGTTAATTTCCAGCCATTCTAAGGCCCGGTAATACGTTGTTACTGTTTGTCTTTGTTACGTGTTTTACTTAATTCTGCGTGTTGGGCCACTGACAGTGAGGGACCCTATAGTGTTAAAATCTAGCCCCATTGCCCACGCTAAATATACTAAAAAAAGACACTGAATTCAGTTCTGCACAGTGTGTGCAGCATTGTACCAGAAAGCACCTCTAGCAGCCATCTGAGGAGTGGCCATTGGAGGTGTCCCTAGGCTGTAATGTAAACACTGCATTTTCTCTGAAAAGACAGTGTTTACTGTAAAAAGCCTACATGGACTGATTATACTTACCAGAACAACTGGTCCCTTTAAGTGTACTCATCTCCAACTTACTTTGGTATTTCTCCTTTATCTCTGAAGTTATTATCTGTAGTCCAGTTGTCTAAAGAAAAAAGAAAGGAAAAGTAAGTTGCTTTCATTACTTTATCTTGGTAGTATTAATTATATATTATATATTACATATAACCTCCTCCTTCTTCACCTCCTCCTCCTTTTTCCTTCACATTACGTGTAGCAGATGACAGTGGATTAGGGTCCTGCCCGTTATCAGGCATGATTTATACAGTGTAGGTAACGTGTGAAAAACAGTAGCTGTGCCGTGACACCTCAATTGTCACTCTCTTGGCTGCAGAGCAGATATAACCGGATGAAGCTCCCTGCCTTTGATTCCACTGCCAAATACAGTTAAGCGGTATACTAAGGGAAATAAAAATTGATAACGCTATGTGTATGTACTTTGTGCATACTGTTGCGGACTTAGGGTGGCGGTATGCACTATATGTGAGAGGGCAGCCGTGGCATCATACCTTTTAAAGAAAAGAAGAAAAAAAAACTATTTTAAACTAAAGGTCGAAAACATAGGGAGGGTGTGTTGTCGTGTGAGTCCCATGCTAAGTAACAGGCTAGGGGCATTCACTATGGATGATTATATAACCTATTCTTACACCTAGATGAGCATTTTGAGAAAGTCAAGTATATTAATACCTGCTAATTTTGGCTTTTGTGCAAGCGTGGGTAGCGTTTATGTAATCTGGTTCATAGTAAGGTAGACATACTATGCTATGGTAGTGGGTCTTAAGATTGTAATACGGCATATGAATATACTGTACACCCAGGATACAAGATAGGCATGAGTGTTAGAATAGATTTACTGTTGGTTTGGCCAATACTATGCTACATCCCTGGCATGGTACAATTCTATACGATCAGGTTAAGCAGTGCCCCGCAGGTTAACGGCATGATATGCTCAGGGTGTTGGGACCCATCTATGGTGCTGTCGGAATGCTCAGCTGTTGGTACAACTAAATGAATGGGTTAGACAACGCTAATGCTAAAAACAAATCATATGAAAAGAGGCGTTTGTGTCTCTGGGCATTCAGCTAGTTACAGTATTATGAGAACGTCAGGTAGCTTGCTCTGCGTCCAGGCTGGTAGCCGGAATGCAGTTAGCTGCTGTCTTTCACTTGGTGCCCCCGGTGTGCTGCAGGGGGTGGTCCAGTCTATGAACAGTGCATGCAACAGTTCGTACAGTCCAAGGTACAGCAATAAGTGAGAGGTGAAGAACCTCAAGTCCTCATGTGGTTGCATGGTTGGCTCGTTGATAGTGCTGTTTGGGTGGATCTTCTCAGGACAAATGTCTCGGAGGTGGCTGGGTTCCATGTATGGGTGTTGGCGGGTTTGTTAGGCTGCTGCAGGGCGTCTTGTGGGAGGCTCCAGGCCGCCAGGTGCCTTCTTGCCTCTGATAGGTCGGCTATTAGGTAAGTTTCGTCTCCATGAAGCACCTGTAGTTTGTGGGGTGGACGCCACTGGTATTTTATGCTGTGTGCGCGGAGTAAGGTGGTGAGTGGTCTGAGGGCTGCGCGCCATGTCATTGTTCCCCGTGACAGGTCCGCATAGAACGTGAGGGACATGTCCTCAAAGGCATACAGTGTGTTTCCCCTGGTGGCGGCCATTATTGCCATTTTGTCTTGACGTTTTTGAAACTTAACTATAATATCCCTGGGTGCCGTCACTGGGGCTGTCGAGGGTTTGGGAATTCGGAATGCGCCGTCTATGCTTATTCCTTTGGCCTGCTTCACGGGAATAATCGTGCTTACCAGGCGTCGTATGAGGTGAGGCACCTCGGCGTCTGATATGGAGTCTGCTATTCCCCTGATCTTGAGGTTTTGGGCACGCCGTGCATCTTCCATCGCCGCCATTTTTTGTTCCACCTGCAGGTGCTGTTGTTGCAGGGAGACCACGTCGCGCTGCAGCGTGGTAAGTTGCTGTGTGTGGCTCTTGGAATCTCGCTCCACGATACCCATACGGTCCGACAGGCCCTGGATGTCTTTCCTCATATCCGCCATGTCGGTCTGGATGCCCCGTCGGAGCTCCGCCAGCAGCTCCCTCATCTCGGCCTTCGTGACCGGAGCAGTATCCGACTGTGTCTTGGGCTGTGTCAGTGTTCGTGTAGCGGGTAAGGCCACCTCTTCTTGGTCTGAGGTTAGGTCATCCGAGTTAGTGAGGTCGTCCACATAGTCTGCGTAATCCGCCATGTGAAGCTCTTGGGCACCATGTGCTCTCCGCCATAGGTCCCCAATACTTGCGCCTGGTCGTGGCATGTCCGATTTAAGTTTTTTATTCTTCTTGCCCATTGCTGCCTTGCTTGTTGGGGTAAGCAGCCTGTTTCTGTTGTGTTTGGGGGGTGATAATTGTGGAATTTGTCCGTAAAAACGCTTTGATTTCTCGGAGCTCGCTGGAGTTGCGACCGCTCGGTTCAGTAGTTGGCCCACTTCTGCTCCTACTTTTGCTTCTCATCCTCCTTCTTCTTCATCTCTTTCTTCTTGTTGTCCTTCATCTTCTCCTCTTCCTTCTGTTTTGCCTCTTTCTACACTGCTTTTTCTTGTCAACTCTTTCTTCGTTTTCATCTCCTCCTGCTCTTCTCTGTTGCTCCCTACTACTTCTTATTCTTCACTTTCTTCCAAACTTTCATCTTCTCATCCTCCTCCTTATTTGCTTACTTTTTCTTCTTTTCCTCCTCCCTTTTCTAAACATTCTTTGCCACCTCCTTCTTCTTTATTGTTTTTTTCATCTGCTACTTCTTCTTCTCCGTCTTCTTCTTCTTAACATGCACCCCCTACTCCCTTTTTTCTTTGCATCCTCCTCCTTCTTCTTTTCCACCTACTCATTCTTTGCTTACTTCTCATTTTTTAATCCTCTTCTTCTACTTTTACTTCTTCACCTCCTTCTTTTTCTTTATATCTTCCTCCTCCTTCTTTTCCTCCTTCATTATCTTATCCACCTTTTTTACCTCATCCATGTTTGCTTCCTCCCCCTCGATCTCCTCCTTCTATGCTTCCTCCTTCTACTTCTACTTTGCTCTCCTTTTTCTTCTCGGTCTCCTCCTCCTCCATTTACTTTGCTTTTCCTCCTTCTCCTTTTTTATTGCCTCCTCCTTCTTCTTTGCTTCTTCCTCTTCTTTCTTTTTCTTCTTCCTTTGCTTCTCCGTTATCACCGCCTCCATCTTCTTCTCATTCTCTTCATTCTTCTTATTCTCCTGATTCTCATTCTCCTCTTTCAAATTCTTCACCCCCTTCTTCTTCATAGCCTCTTCTTCCTCCATTTCCTAATTGTTCTTTTTTTGCCTTCATCTTCTTTCCTTAATACTCTTCCTCCTTTTTAAAATCTTTTTCTTCACCTTTCCTCGTTCTTCTTCTTCGCCTCCTCCTTTTTCTTCTTTACGTCTTCCTCCTCCTCCTTCTTTTCATCATTCATTATCTCATCCTCTTTTTCAGCTTCTCCATGTTTGCTTCCTCCTCATCCTTCTTCTTCATCTCCTCTTACTTTTCTCAACTTTTTCTTCACTTCCTTCTCCTTTGCTTCTTCCACTACTGCCCCGTTATCTTTTCCTCCACCTCCTTCTCATTCTCATTCTTCTCTTTAAAATTACGCACATCCTTTTTCTTCTTTGCCTCCTCCTCCTCCTTCTACCACATTGTCTCTACATTGTCTCCTTGCCTCCTTTTTTTACTCCTCATTTTGTTTGCTTTCTCCTTCTTCTTTGCTTCCCCTGCTTATTCTTCTACTTCATGTCCCTCTTTTTTATTGTCCCCTTTCTCCTCCATCTACTTATTCTTCTTTGCTTTCTTCTTTGCTTACTTCGTCTCCCTCTACTCTTCCCCTCCTCTTCCATCTTCTTCACCATCTCCATTTCATTTGCATCCTCCTCCTTCTTCTTCTTCATCTCATTCTTCTTCTTTATCTTTGTCCCTTTATTCTCCATGTCCTATGGTTTCTTCTTTGTGTTTTTCTACTAAACTCCTTTTTCGTATCTCTTTATTTACCTCTTCCTACTCTTTTAATTATTGCTGTCTTCTTCTCTGTTTCCTCCCACTTCTTTTTCTCCAATGCCTACTTTTTTCACCTCCTCCTTCTTCTTAGCATGCTGCTCCTCCTCCATCTCCTCCATATTCTGTTTTGCCTTCATCTTCTTTGCTTACTCCACCTCATCCTTTCTTTGTCTTCCCCTTTTTCTTCTTTACGTCTTCCTCCTCCTTCTATTCTTCCGTCTTTATGTTGTGCTCCTTTTTTTCACCTCCACTTAGCTTGCTTCTTGCTTTGTTTCCTCCACCTCATTATTTTTTTCTCCTTTTTCTTTGCCTCCTCCTTCACCATTTTCTCACTTCTTCTCCTACTTCATCTCCTTCTTCCTCTTCATTGCCCTCTCCTTTTACTTAATCTCCTCTTCCTCTTTCATCTTAGCCTTTTGTCTTTAATCTTCTTCATAATTATCCTCCTCCTTTTTCTTTACCTCCTCCTCCTTCTACTACATTGTCTTCTTTCTCTACTTATGATATTCTGCTTCCTCCGTCTTCTAGTTGGCTTTCCTTGTTTATTCTTTTACTTCACATAATTCTTCTTCATCTTCCCCTCTTTCTCCTTCATCTACATCCTTTGCTTTGCATTCTTCTTCGCTTACTTCTCCTACCTTATTTTTTTCTTCCCCTACTTCTCCATCTTGCTCAACTCCTCCTTCTCCTAGGCAACTTCCTTCTTCTTCTTACTCCCCTCATTCTTCTACACCTCATTCTTCATCTTAGCCCCTTTTTTCTTCATCTCCTACTTCTTCTTCATGTTCTTCTCCTACACTCTTTTTTGTCTCTTTATTCACCTCTTACTCCTATTTCTTCTTTGACTTTTTCATCTGTGCTTACTGCTCCTCCTCCTCATGCTCCTATTTCTTCTTTAACTCATCCCCTTCTTTTTCTTCAACTTCTCCTTTTTCTTCACCTGCTCCTTCTTCTTAGCCTCTTCCTCCTACATTTCCAATTTATGCTTTTTGCCTTCATCTTGTTTGCTTACTCATCCTCTGTAACGGATCACCTGGCACCCCGACTGGGTACCTCCATTGAAGAATGCTCCTAGCGCTTCCAAGCACTGCAGCAGACACCACAACTACTGAACCGGAGAAGCATACGAAAGCTCTCAAGCATATGAATGCTGTAAGCAGCTGAACAGGAAAAGCATACAATCAGCTTTCACTCCTGGCAATCAGCATACAATCAAATTCCCCCAATAACGAGATGACACTTTGTTTTGAGGTCAAGCAGAACTGACTGTACTGGCACATACAGCCTCTTTTATTCACAATCCACAAACATAGTACTGCCCACAGGGTTTTGAAATACAACCAATCAATCCGTACAATACGCACAGACACTCCCACACAAAATCCTCCCCTCTGCCTGTGATATGATTACTGAACACAATGGTTAATATAATTATCACAGGCAGAGAAATACAGTATTATAAAACATCTGGGTGAACCACATATCCAAAATTCACCCAGATCCGTTCAGTAGTTTGGAAGATACAGTTTAATGCAGGTTCCGCAGAACATATACAGGCTATATGAAAAATAATTACTGTTAAATGTGTCCCCTGTTCTATAGTTTAAAACTACTGCACAATGTCTTTGTGCACCAAATACCGGCGAGATGGCAATGTATAGAAAAGTCCAAACAGTGTCTGTGAGTTAAAATGGCCGCCATCCATTGTTCTCACCATGTGCTTCATCCATTGTTCTCACCATGTGCCTCTGATACATGAAATGGTGGCCACCCAGTAACTCCACAGTATGTCCCAGATGGTTCTTAAAGGGCCAGCAGCAGCACAACACAAATCCATTATGCCCAAATCATGTCTTTAAAGGGCAATACATCCCAGGGGCCATAGTCACATGGCAGGAGGCTGGCAATCAGTCTTCTCCAATGCCCAGTGGCGAGATCGGTTTCGCCACATCCTCATTCTGTTTTTGTCTTTTTCTTCATCCCCTCCTCCTTTTTCTTCTTTATAACTTCCTCCTACTTCTTCTTTTCCTCCTTCACTATCTTCCTTTTTTTGCACCTTCTCTGTGCTTCCTCCTCCTCTTTCTTCTTTTACTTCTTTGTCTCCACTTCCTCATTATTCTTTTCTCCTTTTTCTTTGCCTCCACCCCCTTTTTTCCTCCACCTTTTCTTTCACCTCCTTCTGCCTCTTAGCCTTTCCCTCCTTCTTCTTCTTAGCCTCTTCCTCCTCCATTTCCCTTTTGCCTTCATTTTATTTGCTTACTCCTCTTCCTTCTGTTTTTGTCTTTTTCTTCATTTCCTCCCCCTTCCTCGTCTTCTACTTTTTCTTCTTTACATCTTCCTCCTCCTTCTTCTTTTACTCCTTCATTATCTCATCCTCATTTTTTGCACCTTCTCTGTGTTTGCTTCACCTTCCTCCTTCTTCTTATTTTCTTCCTCTTTTTCTTCTTTGTCTCCTCTTCCTCATTATTTTTCCTTAATTCTTTTACCTTCTCCTCCTCCTTGTTTGCTTCTTCCTCCTTCTTTTTCTTCTTCAATTCTCCCATTCCATTATCTTTTCCTCCACCTTCTTCTCCTTCTCATTCTCCTCTTTCAAATTCTTCACTTTCTTCTACTTCTTTGCCTCCTTCCCCTCATTCTACTAAATTGTCTCTTTTCCTTCTTTTTATACTTCTTATTTTTTGCTTATCTGGCTTCTTGTTTGCTTCCCCTGCTTATTCTTTTACTTCACCTCCTTTTCACTGTTCCCTCTTTCTCCTCCATCTACTTCCTTTTCTTTGCATTCCTCTTTGCTTATTTCTCCTCCTTCTTCTTTTTTTCTTCCCCTCCTCCTCCGTCTTCTTCACTTCTCCTTTGCACCCTCCTCCTTCTTCGACTTCACCTCATTCTCCTTCTTCTTTATCTTTGCCTTTTTATTTTTTATCTCCTACTTCATCTTGTGTTCTTCTTCAACACTCCCTTGGTGTTCGTTCCTTTTCTTTCCTGGATTTTTCCTGCATCTTCACAGCTTTCTGGAGAAGGATTTCTGTTTTTTCCAGACTAATCATCAGTCATAATATATAAAATACAGATTAATAGGTGAAATATATACAAATATTTTCCAAAGTATTCCTACTCTAGAAACCAAATGAATATGTGGATGTTCTCAGAGACAAGGATGGCTTCTACAGGATTAAACATTTCCATAAATAAATACTTTATATCCTTCTATGTGTTACAATAAATGTAATTCTGGACAGACTGCGGGTACCTACGAAGAGCTAAAACACTGGATATAGTAATGCAATCATGATGTCTGCAAAGCCTGATTCCCCAACTTTGCAAGCCCATTCCTTCAGTGAGCAAGCAGGATCGTCTGCAAAGGTAGCCTTCTGGAAGACCACACTAAGACTCTATCCGGCACACCTTCATTTATTTTTAACTTAACCACTCTGTACATTTATTTTATTTTATATATCCTGTGTACATTGTATATTTTCTTGTTTTCTCGTATTTATATCTTGTATTTTATGTTAAAGTGTAGTTTTGCTAGCCCTGTCTGTAATTGTTTTATTCACCTATATGCATTCCTCTATTTCCCCTCTGATTTGTGACTGACCTCTGACCCCTCCCTTTTCTTATTGATATGTTTGTTTTTATTTGAATATCCATCTCTTCATCTCTGTACCTAGATACATTTCCCCCTCCCTTACCTTTATTGCAAGCTCTCTGACCCTCACATCTCTTTATTCAACAGCCTGATTCCCCAACTTTGCAAGCCCATTCCTTCAGTGAGCAAGCCTGATGCCCACCCTATGCTCATTATCAGGGCCGGCCTTTGGGGTGTCACTGTGTCACTGGCTCTGTCACTGGCCGGCCCGAGATTGTTTGAGAGCTGAGCCGCGGTCAGTTTCCGGCGAGTGGAGGAGGAGCTTGGGGCGCAGGCGCAGCGTCCAAGTGCTGCACCTTCACAGAGAGCCGCAGAGGGATCCGCTCCATGTGTGAGGGCGGCGGCCGGTGCTCTGCAGACAGGGAGGGAGCAGCAGCCTTCAAAGTAAGTACCTTATTTATTTTTAAGCCAAACATCTTTCATTAAATGGGGCAGGGTCTAATTAAGGGGGGCAGGGGACTAGATAAGGGTGAAACTGGGTCTAATTAAGGGGGGCAGGGGACTAGATAAGGGTGGCACTGGGTCTAATTAAGGGGGCAGGGGACTAGATATGGGTGACACTGGGTCTAATTAAGGGGGGCAGGGGACTGGCTATGGGTGACACTGGGTCTAATTAAGGGGGGCAGGGGACTGGGACTGGCTATGGGTGACACTGGGTCTAATTAAGGGGGGCAGGGGACTGGGACTGGCTATGGGTGACACTGGGTCTAATTAAGGGGGGCAGGGGACTGGGACTGGCTATGGGTGACACTGGGTCTAATTAAGGGGGGCAGGGGACT